CCTAGGGTTTCATCAGTCAGTCTCCATGTAACCCTGCTCTACCCAGGTTCCCTCAGTCAGTCTCCATGTAACCCTGCTCTACCTAGTTACTCAGTCTTTTCCATGTAACCCTGCTCTACCTAGGTTACTCAGTCAGTCCCATGTAACCCTGCTCTACCTAGGTTACATCAGTCGTCTCCATGTAACCCTGCTCTACCTGGTTACATCCCAAATCATTTTCCGTTAACCCTGCTCTAACCTAGTTCATCAGTCGTCTCCATGTAACCCTGCTCTACCTAGGTTACACTCAGTCAGTCTCCATGAACCCTGCTCTACCTGGTTAAAATCAGTCAGTCCCCCATGTAACCCTGCCTCTACCTAGGTTTACCAAAAAACATCAGTCTTCTCATGTAACCCTGCTCTACCTAGTTCCCAGTCAGTCATCTCCCGTACCCCTGCTCAAAACCCAGGTTTTACGATCATTCGTCTCATGTACTCCCTGCTACCTACTATCTCTACTGTAGTTACAATCATGTTCCATGGGAACCGCCTCCAGGTACACCATCAAACAGTAACCCCCTCTAACTTTGTTACATAATCAGTCCATCTCCAATTTGTATACCCCCCTGTCTACCTAGGTTACTTTCGTCAGCTCCATGTACCCCTTACTGGTTAAAATCAGTCAGTTCCAGTACCCTGCTCTACTAGGTTCATCAAGTCAGTCTCCATTTTAACCCTGCCTACCTAGGCTACAGCTCCATTAAACCTGGCTCAGTTACTCATAGGCCTTTCATGAAAACCTGTTCTACCCATTCAGTCAGTCGTTCCATGTAACCCGCTCTACCTATTTACATAAGGTCGTTCCTGTAACCCTGCTTCACCTAGGTTACAAAGTTCAAGTCTCCCTGAACCCTGCTTACCAAAAACATTATCAGTCTCCATGTGAACCTCTCTACCCCAGGTTTACTATCAGCCGTCCCATTAACCCTGCTCCTTTTCTAGGTTAATCTGCGTTCCTGTAACCTGTCTCATGACAGTTATTTCCTGAGCCTCTCCTGCTGCTCAAATGATCTACCTGGGCTACATAAACTCAGCTGAACTGCTTATATATGGTATGCATGTCACACTCTCCATGTACCTGTCACCTAACGCAGCATCTACCAGAATTGGCTACATAACCGGTCCATTCATATCAAAATTTTTTTTTTTTTTTTTTTTTTTTTTTTTTTTTTTTTTTTTTTTTTTTTTTTTTTTTTTTTTTTTTTTTTTTTTTTTTTTTTTTTTTTTTTTTTTTTCCCAATCCATTTCTGGGCAGATTTCTTTGCATATAGGTCTCCTGCAGCTCTGATTGGTAATGCCTAAACCGATCTTTGTGAAATACGGGCTCAGGGGTCAAGGTACAGAGCGTGAAGAGATGTAGAGGCTACTTTACTTTAATCGCTAGCTAGGCTTGACAGGCTAATCAGCTTCATCATACTATTAGATTACCACTAATCAACGTTACCTCACGTATTTCGGCCCTGAGCAAATTTCAGGTCTGCTGAGCGCAAACTTGAACGTTGTGAAAATTCGGTGGAACTTCCAGCACCGTTTACTGTGAACAATATGTTAGTTTTAAGTGGCTATTTGATCATAATGTAGGCCTACCAGAGTGGCCTACCATCAAAAACAATGGAGAAAATGCATATCATAACATTTTAACATGGAAATAGCTGTTCTATCATTCAGCCAATGTGTGTTGTTCAATGTAGGCCTATATTCCATGAGACTTGACATTAACCTGTATATCCACTTGTCTTTCAGACAACGAGGTGACTGAAAATGTTGTTGTTTTGATACAAGAAACCACTTTACAAAATAAAATGCATTATTATGCCCATACCATTATTACAGAGAATCAGACAAATGATGCTACCCTCTGCCTATTGGCTACTTAGCTTATTCAAGCCTGTCTCAAAATACAACACTGCCCCTTTTAAGACAAAAATAAAGCTCTTTACCTGAGTCGCTTTTCAAAGATGTCTAGAAATGGACATGTTTTGTGCTCTTGTAGGAAGCAAACACTCTCCTATTGCTGACTATAAATGATCTATAACTGGGCTAATAACTCACTAACTAGCATATATGAATATGGATATGAACAAAATGTTCACACGTGGCTACATGCAGCTCTTGCTTTGATCTCAAAACAAGCACATCTACTCACGACCGCTCATGCTGTACACCCGGTCCAGTTCAAAGTAAATGGCACAGATCCATATATGGCAATGGTCTATTTGCATATAGGTCTACTGCAGCTCTGATTGGTTATGCCGCACCGGTCTGTGAGGAGTACGGGCTGAGTCCTGCTTGTCAATGCAATAGAATCCTACTCCGATGGGTTCCGCCTACAACAAAATCTCTTGCGTAGTTCGTTTTGTTTCGGTATGTTGCATTGAAAGTGGATAATATCGCGTTGATTCGATCACACTTGCCACAGTAAAGGGAAACGTTGATAGAGTTAACATGGAGAACTCTACAACACCAACCTTTTCTGAGTCAAGATGTGGTCCTCTGTAGCTCAGCTGGTAGAGCACGGCGCTTGTAACGCCAAGGTAGTGGGTTCGATCCCCGGGACGACCCATACGTAAAAATGTATGCACGCATGACTGTAAGTCGCTTTGGATAAAAGCGTCTGCTAAATGGCATTTATTTTTATATTATTATAAGATCTTTGAGTCAGAATGCAGGCCGAGATCTACCACTCAGATTTTTTTTATTAACATGACTTAAAAAACATAAGCCTGTGCAACATTAACCAATTAAAAACAGTACTGTAGCAATGAGGTTTGTGTAGTAAGCTATAGGCCCAATACATTATCACTGTGTATTGGCTTTGCTTGAATTGCCCTGCCAATACATTGTTATATTAAAACATTTGAGGTAGGCTTTATGATCACATCGGTAATAGATCCGCTGTCGTATTTACTTGTGCAGCACAGCTGAGTGAGCATACATTTTATATAATTAGCTTTTTATTTCTTTTACTGGGCTGATGGTGCTTGCATGTGATGGTCAGTCTCAGCAGACTGAGGGGTCCGCCTCTCAGCATCCCTCCGCTCTCCCTTTCCTCCGCTGACACGGACCAAAAAGGGGACACAGTCTTCCAGATGATGGAGAAACTCGAGTCGCACCGCATTATTTCTGCCTCATGCTCAAATTCATGTTACTCCTATGAACAGAGAATGTGAAATATTCCTCGATATTAAAAAAAGCCCCAAGCCGCTAACAATAACAACACAAGCCTATAGATACACTTTCCTACTCATTCATTACTGCTGCAGTGCTGGTTGTAGTGCTGAGTGGAAGTAGGGAGAACGCGCATTTTATGGCTTATAAAAGTGTTGAATACACAAGTGTTGACAGCGCTGAGTAAGAACTTAAACATGAACTCACTCATAAAAACAGCATCTCTTTGCTGTATTCGTTGACAGTTTCTCTCTCTCTAGTCATGGTTTTAAAAACGTTTTGAAATCTCACAGTATCAACTTTGCTGTAGCTTTCTTTTTACGCCTGGTACGTTACTGCAGACACGGTCATCTGAGCCATCCGATTGGCCAGCGGTAGGCCTATAGCGCACTTGATTTGCCTTCAGACACATGAAATTGTTCAAAATGGCCGCCAACAGCCCGAGACGAATAAAACAAAATAGGAACACAAGGCTCTATCGTTGGGTTTTTTACAGAAACGTTTGGCGATCGACTAGGAATGCCTTGGAGGTGGAATCGCGATCGACCGGTTGGTGACCACCGCTCTAGAAAGCTGAGTGAAGTTCAAGCTCGTCCTTCTCTCTGTGGGCTGATGTTTCTGCTAGGCAGTCCCGGAGGAGCTGCACGTCAGGCTCGGGCTGCTGAGCACGCAGCTTAGAGAGAATATTGCCTATAATTCAATACCAATATTTACCTACGTGAAGTTCGATCCTTTCTTAGCTTGTATATGGATATCTATACAAACTTCAACAAAATAATGAAACCTGTCGGGGTCCTTCCTTCCCATGTGACCTGTACAAGACAGACTCAGTCAGGACAGATAGGGCCAGGAGGTTTTCCAGACTAACTCGTCAGTCAGGACAGATTGTCTGGAAAACCTCCTGGCCCTAACTAATAGATCCAGTCTGATATGTGATGTGTCCTGTCTCTAACTAATAGATCCAGTCTGATATGTGATGTGTCCTGTCTCTAACCTAAGATCCATGTCCAGTCTGATATGTGATGTGTCCTGTCCTCTAACTAATAAGATCCAGTCTGATATGTGATGTGTCCTGTCTCTAACTAATAAGATCCAGTCTGATATGTGATGTGTCCTGGCCCTAACTAATAGATCCAGTCTGATATGTGATGTGTCCTGGCCCTAACTAATAGATCTAGTCTGATATGTGATGTGTCCTGTCTCTAACTAATAGATCAAGTCTGATATGTGATGTATCCTGTCTAACTAATAGATCCAGTCTGATATGTGATGTGTCCTGTCTCTAACTAATAGACCCAGTCTGATATGTGATGTGTCCTGGCCCTAACTAATAGATCCAGTCTGATATGTGATGTGTCCTGGCCCTAACTAATAGATCCAGTCTGATATGTGATGTGTCCTGGCCCTAACTAATAGATCCAGTCTGATATGTGATGTGTCCTGTCTAACTAATAGATCCAGTCTAATATGGGATGTGTCCTGTCTCTAACTAATAGATCCAGTCTGATATGTGATGTGTCCTGGCCCTAACTAATAGATCCAGTCTGATATGTGATGTGTCCTGTCCTAACTAATAGATCCAGTCTGATATGGGATGTGTCCTGTCTCTAACTAATAGATCCAGTCTGATATGTGATGTGTCCTGGCCTAACTAATAGATCCAGTCTGATATGTGATGTGTCCTGGCCTTAACTAATAGATCCAGTCTGATATGCGATGTGTCCTGTCCCTAACTAATAGAACCAGTCTGATATGCGATGTGTCCTGGCCCTAACTAATAGATCCAGTCTGATATGCGATGTGTCCTGGCCCTAACTAATAGATCCAGTCTGATATGTGATGTGTCCTGTACCTCCAGGGATACAGCTGGTCAGGAGAGATTCAACAGTATAACCTCGGCCTACTACCGTGGGGCCAAGGGAATAGTACTGGTCTATGATATCACCAAGCAGGAAACCTTCGACGACCTACCCAAATGGATGAAGATGATCGACAAGGTAAGATTAAAAACTCTTGGAACAGCTTTTGATAGCTTGGTGGGTTTTCAGAGTGTGGGTTTGAGAACCCTTATGTGGTACAGTACACATTTTTATTGTAACCCTGGACAAGCACACCTCATTCAACTTGTCAACTAATCATCAAGCCCTCAATGAGTTGAATGAGGTGTGCTTGTCCAGGGCTACAACAAAAATGTGTACTGTTGGGGGTACTGGAGGACCAGGGTGTTGGGGGGTCTGGAGGACCAGGGTGGGGGGGGGGGGGGGGTACTGGAGGACCAGGGTGTTGGGGGGGTACTGGAGGACCAGGGTGTTGGGGTATGGAGGACCAGGGTGTTGGGGGGGTACTGGAGGACCAGGGTGTTGGGGGGTACTGGAGGACCAGGGTGTTGGGGGGGGGGGTACTGGAGGACCAGGGGGTTGGGGGGTACTGGAGGACCAGGTGTTGGGTACGAGGACAGGTGTGGGGGGGGGGGGTACTGGAGGACCAGGGTGTTGGGGTACTGGAGGACCAGGGTGTTGGGGGGGTACTGGAGGACCAGGGTGTTGGGGTACTGGAGGACCAGGGTGTTGGGGGGGAGGAGGGGGGGGGGCGGGGCGAGGGTGTGGGGTACTGGAGGACCAGGTGTTGGGGGTACGGAGGCCCAGGTGTTGGGGGGAGGAGGCAGGGTGGTGGGGGGTAGGAGGACCAGGGTGTTGGGGGGGGGGGTACTGGAGGACCAGGGTGTTGGGGTGGTACTGGAGGACCAGGGTGTTGGGGTACGGGGACCAGGGTGTTGGGGGGTACTGGAGGACCAGGGTGTTGGGGGGTACTGGAGACCGGGGTTTGTTGGGGGGGTACTGGAGGACAAGGGTGTTGGGGGGGTACTGGAGGACCAGGGTGTTGGGGGGTACTGGAGGACCAGGGTGTTGGGGGGGTACTGGAGGACCAGGGTGTTGGGGGGGGGGGTTACTGGAGGACCAGGGTGTTGGGGGGGTACTGGAGGACCAGGGTGTTGGGGGGGGTACTGGAGGACCAGGGTTGTTGGGGGGGGTACGGGGAGGACCAGGGGTGGGGGTTGGAGGGGGGGTGGGTGGGGTACTGGAGGACCAGGGTGTTGGGGGGGGGGGGGGGGGGGGGGGGGTGTTAATGGAGGACCAGGGTGTTGGGGGGGGGGGGGGGGGTACTGGAGGACCAGGGTGTTGGGGGGGGTAATGGAGGACCAGGGGTTGGGGGGGGTATGGAGGCGGGGTGTTGGGGGGGGGGGGTACTGGAGGACCAAGGTGTTTGGGGGGGGGTATGGGGACCAGGGTGTGTGGGGGGGGGTACTGGAGGACCAGGGTTTCACATCTCACTACCCTGCCTGTCTGCCTGTCTGCCTGTCTGCCTGTCTGCCTGCCTGCCTGTCTGTCTTTCTGCCTGTCTGTCTGTCTGTGTGTTGTGTCAGAACTTACCACTGATCTCTCCTGTCATTGGTCAGTATGCTTCAGAGGAGGCAGAGCTGCTGCTAGTGGGGAACAAGCTGGACTGTGAGACAGACCGCATCATCACTAAACAGACTGCAGAGAGGGTGAGTCTAATACTGATCTAGGATCAGCATCATCACTAAACAGACTGCAGAGAGGGTGAGTCTAATACTGATCTAGGATCAGCATCATCACTAAACAGACTGCAGAGAGGGTGAGTCTAATACTGATCTAGGATCAGCATCATCACTAAACAGACTGCAGAGAGGGTGAGTCTAATACTGATCTGGGATCAGATAACAGACAATATCCTCACCTCAATCATTAGAGGGAGGAAATGTATAAATGTCTTCACAGCTCTGTATGGGCTTTGACTGACAGCCGTTCTAAAGTTGAGCACTGTGTGAGACAATTTTATTCTAAAATAGATTAAATTGTATTTTTTCCTCATCAATCTACACACAATACCCCATAACGACGAAGCAAAAACAGGTTTGGAGACATTTTTGGAAATGTATAAAAAACTGAAATATTGCAATTACATAAGTATTCAGACCCTTTACTCAGTACTTTGTTGAAGCACCTTTGGCAGCGATTACAGCCTCGAGTCTTCTTGGGTATGACCCTACAAGCTTGGCACACCTGTATTTGGGGAGTTTCTCCCATTCTTCTCTGCCGATCCTCTCCAGCTCTGTCAGGTTGGATCGGGAGCGTCGCTGCACAGCTATTTTCAGGTCTCTCCAGAGATGTTCGATTGGGTTCAAGTCCGGGCTCTGGCTGGGCCACTCAAGGACATTCAGAGACTTGTCCCGAAGCCACTCCTGCATTGTCTTGGCTGTGTGATTAGGGTCGTTGTCCTGTTGGAAGGTGAACCTTCACCCCAGTCTGAGGTCCTGAGCACTCTGGAGCAGGTTTTCATCAAGGATCTCTCTGTACTTTGCTCCGTTCATCTTTGCCTCGATCCTGACTAGTCTCCCAGTCCCTGCTGCTGGAAAAACATCCCCATACCATGATGCTGCCAGCACCATGCTTCACCCTAGGGATGGTGCCAGGTTTCCTCCAGACATGACGCTTGGCATTCAGGCCAAAAGAGTTCAATCTTGGTTTCATCAGACCAGAGAATCTTGTTTCTCATGGTCTGAGAGTCATTTAGAGGTGCCTTTTGGCAACTCCAAGCGGGTTGTCATGTGCCTTTTACTGAGGAGTGGCTTCCATCTGGCCACTCTAACCATAAAGGCCTGATTGGTGGAGTGCTGCAGAGATGGTTGTCCTTCTGGAAGGTTCTCCCATCTCCACAGAGGTACTCTAGAGCTCTGTCAAGAGTGACCATCGGTTCTTGTTCACCTCCCTGACCAAAGCCCTTCTCCCCTGATTGCTCAGTTTGGCCGGGCAGCCAGCTGTAGGAAGAGTCTTGGAGGTTCCAAACTTCTTCCATTTAAGAATGATGGAGGCCACTGTGTTCTTGGGGACCTTCAATGCCCCAGATCTGTGCCTCGACACAATCCTGTCTCGGAGCTCTTCGGACAATTCCTTCGACCTCATGGCTTGGTTTTTGCTCTGACATGCACTGTCAACTCTGGGACCTTTATATAGCCTTTCCAAGTCATGTCCAAACAATTGAATTTACCACAGGTGGACTCCAATCAAGTTGTAGAAACATCAAGGATGATCAATGGAAACAGGATGCACATGAGCTCAATTTGGAGTCTCATAGCAAAGGGTCTGAATACTTATGTAAATAAGGTATTTCTGTTTTTTGTTTTTAATGCATTTGCAAAAATGTCTAAAAACCTGTTTTTGCTTTGTCATTATGGGTATTGTGTGTAGACTGCTGAGGAAATTGTTTTTTTTACTCCATCTTAGAATAAGGCTGTAACGTAACAAAATGTGGAAAAAGTCAAGTGGTCTGAATACTTTCCGAAGGCACTGTACATCTGCTATATAGGCTTTTATACAGTGAGGGGAAAAAAGTATTTGATCCCCTGCTGATTTTGTACGTTTGCCCACTGACAAAGACATGATCAGTCTATAATTTTAATGGTAGGTTTATTTGAACAGTGAGAGACAGAATAACAACAAAAACATCCAGAAAAACGCATGTCAAAAATGTTATAAATTGATTTGCATTTTAATGAGGGAAATAAGTATTTGACCCCTCTGCAAAACATGACTTAGTACTTGGTGGCAAAACCCTTGTTGGCAATCACAGAGGTCAGACGTTTCTTGTAGTTGGCCACCAGGTTTGCACACATCTCAGGAGGGATTTTGTTCCACTCCTCTTTGCAGATCTTCTCCAAGTCATTAAGGTTTCGAGGCTGATGTTTGGCAACTCGAACCTTCAGCTCCCTCCACAGATTTTCTATGGGATTAAGGTCTGGAGACTGGCTAGGCCACTCCAGGACCTTAATGTGCTTCTTCTTGAGCCACTCCTTTGTTGTCTTGGCCGTGTGTTTTGGGTCATTGTCATGCTGGAATACCCATACACGACCCATTTTCAATGCCCTGGCTGAGGGAAGGAGGTTCTTACCCAAGATTTGACTGTACATGGCCCCATCCATCGTCCCTTTGATGTGGTGAAGTTGTCCTGTCCCCTTAGCAGAAAAACACCCCCAAAGCATAATGTTTCCACCTCCATGTTTGACGGTGGGGATGGTGTTCTTGGGGTCATAGGCAGCATTCCTCCTCCTCCAAACACGGCGAGTTGAGTTGATGCCAAAGAGCTCCATTTTGGTCTCATCTGACCACAACACTTTCACCCAGTTCTCCTCTGAATCATTCAGATGTTCATTGGCAAACTTCAGACAGGCCTGTATATGTGCTTTCTTGAGCAGGGGGACCTTGTGGGCGCTGCAGGATTTCAGTCCTTCACGGCGTAGTGTGTTACCAATTGTTTTCTTGGTGACTATGGTCCCAGCTGCCTTGAGATCATTGACAAGATCCTCCTGTGTAGTTCTGGGCTGATTCCTCACCGTTCTAATGATCATTGCAACTCCACGAGGTGAGATCTTGCATGGAGCCCCAGGCCGAGGGAGATGGACAGTTCTTTTGTGTTTCTTCCATTTGCGAATAATCGCACCAACTGTTGTCACCTTCTCACCAAGCTGCTTGGCGATGGTCTTGTAGCCCATTCCAGCCTTGTGTAGGTCTACAATCTTGTCCCTGACATTCTTTGAGAGCTCTTTGGTCTCTGCCATAGTGGAGAGTTTGGAATCTGATTGATTGATTGATTGCTTCTGTGGACAGGTGTCTTTTATACAGGTAACAAAACTGAGATTAGGAGCACTCCCTTTAAGAGTGTGCTCCTAATCTCAGCTCGTTACCTGTATAAAAGACACCTGGTAACCAGAAATCTTTCTGATTGAGAGGGGGTCAAATACTTATTTCCCTCATTAAAATGCAAATCAATTTATAACATTTTTGACATGCATTTTTCAGGATTTTTGTTGTTGTTATTCTGTCTCACTGTTCAAATAAACCTACCATTAAAATTATAGACTGATCATTTCTTTGTCAGTGGGCAAATGTACAAAATCAGCAGGGGATCAAATACTTTTTTCCCTCACTGTAGTTATTCCGTTAGAAACGTTTCAATTTGGCCCTTTCCATGTAGGCCAATTTCCACAAGCATAAGGGGTTAAATCCACTCTAGGTTAAACACAGACTTCACTGTTGCTCCTGTTACAATAGCTCACCCCATCAATGTAAAGTGAAAATGTCACTGCTTCCTTCACATTCCTCTGAAGATACTCTGAAGAATCTGACAGTTAATGAAAAACCTTCAGTTGGAAATTACCCAGAGTTCTGAGTGCTTTAAGAAAGTTTGGTCAGGAGCCTCCCGAGTGGCGCAGTGGTCTAAGGCACTGCATCGCAGTGCTTGAGGCGTCACTACAGACCCGGGTTCGATCCCAGGCTATGTCACAGCCGGCCGTGACCAGGAGACCCATGAGGCGGCGCACAATTGGCCCAGCGTCGTCCGGGATAGGGGAGGGTTTGGCCGGCCGGGATTTCCTTGTCCCGTCGCGCTCTAGCGACTCCTTGTGGCGGGCCCGGCGCCTGCAAGCTGACTTCGGTCGCCAGCTGGTGCGGCTGGCTTCCGGGTTAAGCGAGCAGTGTCAAGAAGCAGTGTGGCTTGGCAGGGCCGTGTTTTGGAGGACGCATGGCTCTAGACCTTCGCCTCTCCCGAGTCTGTAGGGGAGTTGTAGCGATGGGACAAGACTGTAACTACCAATTGGATATCATGACATTGGGAAGAAAAAGTGGTAATAAGTACAAAAGAAAAAGTACTTTCTATACTTATTTTCTTCCCCGGGAAAGACTACAGAAGTTCAATTTCTGTCCGCAGCTTGTCTCGAGGATATCTGGGATGCGTTTCTGCGAGGCTAGTGCCAAGGATAACTTTAACGTGGAGGAGTGCTTTCTAAAACTAGTGGACGACATTCTAGCGAAGGTGAGTAGCTACCTCACTATGCTCATGTTGTCCCTGCTGTAACTAATAGACATCTTTTATCATGTTCAATGGAATGATTTTCTAATCCAGCTTTTTTTTTTCTCTTCAGTATTTGGTAGGAAATCAATAGTTTCCTATTTCTATATCATTAAGTTATAATAGTCTACAATGTGACTAGTCATTTTTGTATGCCACACCACCTGAGGCATTAAGCATTGACTCGGTCTGTCTTTGAACCCTATTTTTTATTCTCTGTGGTCTGGTGACCAGGTGTTAACCTATTAATATTAACTCCCTGTTCACTGTCTTGTTCGTCCTGTCTTCTGTCTCGCCAGATGCCTCTGGAGATTTCCTAGAATGTTTTCCTATAATTCCCAATATTGTCTCGTGTGACTGTAGCTATCCAACACGTGACTGTAGCGTATACAACACGTGACTGTAGCTATCCAACACGTGACTGTAGCTATCCAACACGTGACTGTAGCTCTACAACACGTGACTGTAGCTATCCAACACGTGACTGTAGCTATCCAACACGTGACTGTAGCTCTACAACACGTGACTGTAGCTCTACAACACGTGACTGTAGCTCTACAACACGTGACTGTAGCTCTACAACACGTGACTGTAGCTCTACAACACGTGACTGTAGCTCTACAACACGTGACTGTAGCTATACAACATGTGACTGTAGCGTATACAACACGTGACTGTAGCTCTACAACACGTGACTGTAGCTATACAACACGTGACTGTAGCTCTGCAACACGTGACTGTAGCTCTACAACACGTGACTGTAGCTCTGCAACACGTGACTGTAGCTATACAACACGTGACTGTAGCTCTACAACACGTGACTGTAGCTCTACAACACGTGACTGTAGCTATATAAACACGTGACTGTAGCTCTACAACACGTGACTGTAGCTCTACAACACGTGACTGTAGCTATACAACACGTGACTGTAGCTATACAACAAGTGACTGTAGCTCTACAACACGTGACTGTAGCTCTACAACACGTGACTGTAGCTCTACAACACGTGACTGTAGCTCTACAACACGTGACTGTAGCTCTACAACACGTGACTGTAGCTCCACAACACGTGACTGTAGCTCTACAACACGTGACTGTAGCTCTACAACACGTGACTGTAGCTCTACAACACGTGACTGTAGCTATACAACATGTGACTGTAGCGTATACAACACGTGACTGTAGCTCTACAACACGTGACTGTAGCTATACAACACGTGACTGTAGCTCTGCAACACGTGACTGTAGCTCTACAACACGTGACTGTAGCTCTGCAACACGTGACTGTAGCTATACAACACGTGACTGTAGCTCTACAACACGTGACTGTAGCTCTACAACACGTGACTGTAGCTATATAAACACGTGACTGTAGCTCTACAACACGTGACTGTAGCTCTACAACACGTGACTGTAGCTATACAACACGTGACTGTAGCTATACAACAAGTGACTGTAGCTCTACAACACGTGACTGTAGCTCTACAACACGTGACTGTAGCTCTACAACACGTGACTGTAGCTCTACAACACGTGACTGTAGCTCTACAACACGTGACTGTAGCTCCACAACACGTGACTGTAGCTCCACAACACGTGACTGTAGCTCTACAACACGTGACTGTAGCTCTACAACACGTGACTGTAGCTCTACAACACGTGACTGTAGCTATACAACACGTGACTGTAGCTATACAACACGTGACTGTAGCTATATAAACACGTGACTGTAGTGTATACAATGTGATTGTAGCTATACAACACGTGACTGTAGCTCTACAACACGTGACTGTAGCTCTACAACACGTGACTGTAGCTCTACAACACGTGACTGTAGCTATACAACACGTGACTGTAGCTATACAACACGTGACTGTAGCTCTACAACACGTGACTGTAGCGTATACAACACGTGACTGTAGCTATACAACACGTGACTGTAGCTCTACAACATGTGACTGTAGCGTATACAACATGTGACTGTAGCGTATACAACACGTGACTGTAGCTATACAACACGTGACTGTAGCGTATACAACACGTGACTGTAGCTATACAACACGTGACTGTAGCTATACAACACGTGACTGTAGCTATACAACACGTGACTGTAGCTCTACAACACGTGACTGTAGCTATACAACACGTGACTGTAGCGTATACAACACGTGACTGTAGCGTATACAACACGTGACTGTAGCTCTACACACGTGACTGTAGCTATACAACACGTGACTGTAGCTCTACAACACGTGACTGTAGCTCTACAACACGTGACTGTAGCGTATACAACACGTGACTGTAGCGTATACAACACGTGACTGTAGCTATACAACACGTGACTGTAGCTCTACAACACGTGACTGTAGCGTATACAACACGTGACTGTAGCTATACAACACGTAACTGTAGCTATACAACACGTGACTGTAGCTCTACAAAATGTGACTGTAGCTATACAACACGTGACTGTAGCTATACAACACGTGACTGTAGCTCTACAACACGTGACTGTAGCTATATAAACACGTGACTGTAGTGTATACAATGTGATTGTAGCTATACAACACGTGACTGTAGCTCTACAACACGTGACTGTAGCTCTACAACACGTGACTGTAGCTCTACAACACGTGACTGTAGCTATACAACACGTGACTGTAGCTATACAACACGTGACTGTAGCTCTACAACACGTGACTGTAGCGTATACAACACGTGACTGTAGCTATACAACACGTGACTGTAGCTCTACAACATGTGACTGTAGCGTATACAACATGTGACTGTAGCGTATACAACACGTGACTGTAGCTATACAACACGTGACTGTAGCGTATACAACACGTGACTGTAGCTATACAACACGTGACTGTAGCTATACAACACGTGACTGTAGCTATACAACACGTGACTGTAGCTCTACAACACGTGACTGTAGCTATACAACACGTGACTGTAGCGTATACAACACGTGACTGTAGCGTATACAACACGTGACTGTAGCTCTACACACGTGACTGTAGCTATACAACACGTGACTGTAGCTCTACAACACGTGACTGTAGCTCTACAACACGTGACTGTAGCGTATACAACACGTGACTGTAGCGTATACAACACGTGACTGTAGCTATACAACACGTGACTGTAGCTCTACAACACGTGACTGTAGCGTATACAACACGTGACTGTAGCTATACAACACGTAACTGTAGCTATACAACACGTGACTGTAGCTCTACAAAATGTGACTGTAGCTCTACAACACGTGACTGTAGCGTATACAACACGTGACTGTAGCGTATACAACACGTGACTGTAGCGTATACAACACGTGACTGTAGCGTATACAACACGTGACTGTAGCGTATACAACACGTGACTGTAGCGTATACAACACGTGACTGTAGCGTATACAACACGTGACTGTAGCTCTACAACACGTGACTGTAGCTATACAACACGTGACTGTAGCTATACAACACGTGACTGTAGCTATACAACACGTGACTGTAGCTCTACAAAATGTGACTGTAGCTCTACAACATGTGACTGTAGCTCTACAACACGTGACTGTAGCTCTACAACACGTGACTGTAGCGTATACAACACGTGACTGTAGCTCTACAACACGTGACTGTAGTGTATACAACACGTGACTGTAGTGTATACAACACGTGACTGTAGTGTATACAACACGTGACTGTAGCTATACAACACGTGACTGTAGCGTATACAACACGTGACTGTAGCTCTACAACACGTGACTGTAGCTATACAACACGTGACTGTAGCTATACAACACGTGACTGTAGCTATACAACACGTGACTGTAGCTCTACAACACGTGACTGTAGCTCTACACAACACGTGACTGTAGCTATACAACACGTGACTGTAGCTATCCAACACGCCCCACACCACCGCCTGTAATAAATACTTTCTGTTTCTGTTCTGTCTTCCTGTCTCACCAGATGCCTCTGGAGATTCCCAGTAAAGATGTTTCCAACAGTATCCTGTCTCTGCAGCCTGAACCGGAAGTGCCTCCTGAGCTCAACCCGCCACGCGTGCGCTGTTGCTGAGACCCCCCCCACCCCTCCACCACCACCAACCTCCCTCATTCTCCCTCAACCCTGCTGAGACCCCCCCCCCCCACCCCCACCCCTCCACCACCAACAACCTCCCTAATTCTCCCTCAACCCTGCTGAGACCCCCCCCACCCCCACCCCTCCACCACCACCACCACCAACCTCCCTCATTCTTCCACATATGCAGCAGAACCATTCTGGCCACCAGAGGGCAGCAGAACCAAGTAGCAGTCTGGAAGCAGCAGGAGAGTGAGTGTCCTTCCCAATAGAGAATAGGGTGCCGTTTGGGGTGAACCCTCAGTTGTTGCTGCAAGGAGATTAAACACATCTGTTCTGATAGAGATCCTCTCATTTCTATTTCTGTCATGTAGCTGTATGATATGACATGTCACACAAATACACTCACTAATACAGAGACCTTGTTTAGACAAAGACCTCAGACACACACAGACACGTATACACCCCTACACACACACACACACACACACACACACACATGTACACACACCCGCCCCAGACTACTTCATCCCGGGGGCCAGCTTGGCTTGCTGTGCCTTGCAGCCAGGTGCCTTCTAAGTAGAGAGAGAGAGAACCCTACAACACACACACACACACACACACACACACACACAAACAAAGACACACACACACACAAACACACACACACACACACACACACACACACAAACAAAGACACACACACACACACACAAACAAAGACACACACACACACACACAAACAAAGACACACACACAAACACAAACACACACACACACACACACACACATTCACATGGGGACAATTGGAGAAAAGGAGAGGAACAGACTCCCCTGACTTGACTGAGGGAGTGGGACTCCTTGTGCTCCTACACTAGACCTAGTAACTGTAGAGGATGTATCTCTACTGTACAACATGGAAAAGGGACCCTCGTCATATTGCACAGTACTTTCTTAGCTACATTTAGATGGAAATGTATTCTTGTACATAGTTTCATATAGACAGTTTATAGTCATGATTATCACGTAGTAACTTCAATTATGTCGAAATTCAAGTAGACACAGGTGTAGAATCAGATGACAAGAAATGTATATGTTGTCATTTTGGGGCTGAAGTCATGGACATATAATCAGAAAACCGCCTAGCAGCCATTTTGTTTTGGACAGGACCATCCGTGTAAACCATTTCAACTTTTGTATTTTTACGGCCAATAATGACAAAATAGCCTTGGGGGGTGGTTGTTTGGTTTGTGTGCCATGTTAATTTATGTCAGTGTTGGTTTGTGTGTCATGTTAATTTACAGTGCATTCGGAAAGTATTCAGACCCCTTAACTTTTTCCACATTTTGTTAAGTTACAGCCTTATTCTAAAATGGATTAAATAAATAAAAATCCTCATCAATCTACACACAATACCCCATTATGACAAAACAAAAACAGGTTTTTAGATATTTTTGCAAATGTATTACAAATTAAAAACAGATACCTTATTTACATAAGTATTCAGACCCTTTGCTATGAGACTCGAAATTGAGCTCAGGCACATCCTGTTTCCATTGATCATCCTTGATGTTTCTACAACTTGATTGGAGTCCACCTGTGGTAAATTCAATTGATTGGACATGATTTGGAAAGGCACACACCTGTCTATATAAGGTCCCACAGTTGACAGTGCATGTCAGAGCAAAAACCATGCCATGAGGTTGAAGGAATTGTCTGTAGATCTCAGAGACAGGTTTGTGTCGAGGTACAGATCTGGGGAAGGGTACCAAAAATGTTCTGCAGCATTGAAGGTCCCCACAGTGGCCTCCATCATTCTTAAATGGAAGACGTTTGGAACCACCAAGACTCTTCCTAGAGCTGGCCGCCCGGACAAACTGAGTAATCGGTGGAGAAGGGCCTTGGTCAGGGAGGTGACACTCTGACAGAGCTCTAGAGTTCCTCTGTGGAGATGGGAGAACCTCCCAGAAGGACAACCATCTCTGCAGCACTCCACCAATCAGGCCTTTATGGTAGAGTGGCCAGACGGAAGCCACTCCTAAGTAAAATGCACATGACAGCCCGCTTGGAGTTTGCCAAAAGGCACCTAAAGACTCTCACATCATGAGAAACAGGAGGAAATGCCTGGAGGCATCGCTCATCACCTGGCCCATACCATCCCTACGGTGAAGCATGGTGGTGGCATTATCATGCTGTGGGGATGTTTTTCATCGGCAGGGACTGGGAGTCTAGTCAGGATCGAGGGAAAGATGAACGGAGCAGAGATCCTTGATGAAAACCTGCTCAGGACCTCAGACTGGGGCAAAGGTTCACCTTCCAACAGGACAACGACCCTAATCACACAGCCAAGACAACGCACAAGTGGCTTCGGGACAAGTCTCTGAATGTCCTTGAGTGGCCCAGCCAGAGCCAAGACGTGAACCTGATCGAACATCTTTGGAGAGACCTGAAAATAGCTGTGCAGCGACGCTCCCCATCCAACCTGACAGAGCTTGAGAGGATCTGCAGAGAAGAATGGGAGAAACTCCCCAAATACAGGTGTGCCAAGCTTGTAGCGTCATACCCAAGAAGACTCGAGGCTGTAATCGCTGCCAAAGGTGCTTCAACAAAGTACTGAGTAAAGGCTCTGAATACTTATGTAAATGTAATATTTCATAATTATTTATTTATTTATTGAAAAAAAAATCTACAAACCTGTGAAGGGGTCTGAATACTTTCTGAATGCACTGTTTGTCAGTGTTGCCTTACATTATTATAAGTGTCTTGAACGGTTTTCTGTTCCATTTGTGTTATTTGTAACGTTTGCACTACAATCCATGATAGATAGTTATGTCCTATGCTGAAGTCAGTCAGGTAGTGTAGAATACAGTATTAAATGAGTTAGCAGCACTAGTAATGCACAAACCTTGTTTCAGTGTTGAACCCTATCAGTGTCCGGCCACACCTGGGTCACATTCATTAGTGCACACTATACCAAAACGTTTTGCAACGGGGAAAAAACACGTTTTTCTTATTGGATTAATCCCCTGTTTGTCTGTCAATCTCTGAGTAGAGGTGGTGTCTACATACAGTCAGTCTATGAAGAGAAGAGGTGTCTACATAGAGTCAGTCTATGAAGAGAGGAGGTGTCTACATAGAGTCAGTCTATGAAGAGAAGAGGTGTCTACATAGAGTCAGTCTATGAAGAGAAGAGGTGTCTACATACAGTCAGTCTATGAAGAGAAGAGGTGTCTACATACAGTCAGTCACAGGGTTCTCTCTTTGTACAGACTGCAAAAAAACTAAAAACTAAAATTGTCATCGTAACGTTATTATCCTCATGTTTTCACTTCCCCTAAGTGGAAATACCACTTAAAGGTGATCAGTGTTATTATTTCTGTGTTGCGTTTAGACAGACGAGAGTGCTGTAAGAGAAAATGTTATCGGAAAAGTTTGGTGATGCAAAATCGAAATCTCTGTGAAGTTAAAGATATATATGTTTGGAACGGTTTTGGACCAGTTTAGAGGACATCCTGCCGGTTGTCATTATAGTAATGGTTGTTTGAAAGGTAAATCTTCAATCTGAGGCCTATCACCCAACTAAAAATGAAATGTTGAGAGATGGAAATGTTGGATTGTTTTGAGTCAAGAAGACTGTCACTCAAATTGGTTGTTGTCTAGATTGGTTTCCATGGGATTCTATCCACATATCTGTCTGAAAAACATGTAGATGTTGTCGTATCAATATGCACATAATAGTTTTAGGTCAACATGCATAGTTAAGATACAGGTAACTGCCAAACAAAGGAAACGTTTGAAAAACAGGTGCTTCCACACAGGTTACGGTTCCTGAGTTAATTAAGCAATTCACATCCCATCATGCTTAGGATCATGTATAGAAATGTCCAGTTCTCCATTACGTTGTCTACCATGGCTAGTCTTTGAAAGAGGGGTCTCAAAGAACCATAGAGGGTTTAAAGTGTGTCTCAGTCACCAGATCTCAACCCAATTCAACACTTATGGGAGATTCTGGAGCGGCGCCTGAGACAGCGTTTTCCACCACCATCAACAAAACACCAAATGATGTAATTTCTCGTGGAAGAATGGTGTCGCATCCCTCCAATAGAGTTCCAGACACTTGTAGAATCTATGCCAAGGCGCATTGAAGCGGTTCTGGCTCGTTGTGGCCCAACGCCCTGTTAAGACACTTTATGTTGGAGTTTCCTTTATTTTAGCAGTCACCTGTAGATACATTGAAGTAAAAAGGATTTGGCATCAACTAAAAGAACAACAACAATCCTAGACAATGGAGGGCATGATCTAAGAACGGCCTTTGTCTGCAATTTGTGTTGCTATCATCGATTGGCTAATGTATTTACCTATAGCTATGCCTGATCCTGTCAGCAGTAAGCATCTATACTGGTCCAACCCCCAAGGCACTGGTCATTGCTGATTGGCTAGTCAGTACATCCTTTAGAATGAAATGCCCTAATACCCAACCTTACCTGATTCGATAACGTGAACTCTAATTGAACTGTCTCGCTCTTTTTATTGTTTTTCTTTGTGGATTCAACTATTTTGAGTTCAAGGATGTTTTTTTCTTTCTGTTTTTCTTGTTTGTTTTTCTTGGAAGCATTTCTGGTGCTTATGGGTGTACATACAGGGGTGGAATTGACATGTATAAATCCGCCATTTTCCCAGTAATACAACAGTGGTGATTTACCTTCAATTCCACTCCTGGTTACATGTTTTAGACTGTTAGATTTAGGAGTCAGATCAAGTATCAATCAATCAAAAGATTGATAGATGGATAGATTGATTAAACATGGCACTGACCATCGTCTCTGTTCTACAGACGAGCCTTTCTATACTCTCCGGTGTCATACTATAACCGTCCCATCATGCTTAGGGTATGTATAAAAATGCCCAGTTCTCCATTATTTTGGCTACCAGGGCTAGTCTTTTGAAAGAGGAGTCTCAAAGGAGCATAGGGGGTTTTAAGGTGTGGGTGTTTTTGTCTCAGTCACCAGATCTCAACCCAATCAACACTTCTGGGAGATTCTGGAGCCGGCGCCTGAGACGGCGTTTACCACCACCATCAACAAAACACCAAATGATGGAATTTCTCGTGGTAGAACGGGGTGTCGCATCCCTCCCAAAAAGTTTTAGACACGTAAAATCTATGCCAAGGTGCAGTGAAGCTGTTCTGGCTCGTGGAGGCCCAACGCCCTGTTAAGACACTTTATGTTGGTGTTTCCTTTATTTTGGCAGTTACCTGTACACGCGTCCTTTTAAAGCTGTAATCTGCTAAAACTGCCGCTCTGTTTGAGATATTACAACAACAAAGAAGTGACCGCAAACAACAAACACTGTTCCCCCCCCGTGACATCATTGCCCTGTGCGATAGAACAGCAGCATATGTACTGCGGTTTGTTGTACCTTGATGCTCCCCAACACTGCTTCATCAACAAAACAAAACAAAACCAATAACAACGGCTGTGGGGGGGTGGACTGTGGCGCTGTTTCTCCTGCTGCAGATTCCATCTTTAAAGACCACTATGTATTAGAGTTGGGGTTAATTCGAATTAAAGTCAGTCACTTAAGGAAGTGATATGAATTTAAAATCCAAAACCATTTAAGACGTTTTCATATAAATGGCTTCTTTTCAGATTACTTAGAAGTCATTGAAAAATAGATGCCCTTTTTTCAATTATTGAATTGGAATTACAGTTTACTTCCTGAATTTGACTGACTTCAATTCGAATTGACCTCAACCCTGCTTTGTATTAAACAACTTGTAGTTATTTGGAAAATAAAAACAGTTGTCATGTTTTAAAGTGGATTTTCGTATTGATAACTTTTGGCATTCTTTAACTAATGAAGTGCGAATAAAGATATATATTTATTACCCAAACTGCTGTGTGAAAAAACTGCTCTGTTCAATGTGTTGATGGCATGCTGCTGTTTCACCATTAGACCACCTTCCATTGGTTTTGCTCTCCTTTTAAGTTGAAATGAACTGTCCCTCCATAGAGATTGAAGCAATAAGGCCTGAGGGGGTGTGGTATATGGCCAATATATCATGGCTATGGGCTGTTCTTAGAAGTTTAAAAATGTATATTTTTGCATTGCATTTAGACAGGGCTGTGTGTTTAATTACCCAACTTACTGAGTACGGATGGCTGTTTTTCAGCGTTTATGCTGCTATGTCACCATTAGACCACCTGAAAGTGAATTGAAACACTACTATAATAATAAGCCATTTAGCAGACACTTTTATCCAAAGCGACTTACAGTCATGCGTGCATACATTTTTGTGTATGGGTGGTCCCGGGGATCGAACCCACTACCTTGGCGTTACAAGCGCCGTGCTCTACCAGCTGAGCTACAGAGGACCACCTACTAAAATGTATATTCTTCTTTGAAAGTGATTTATGTGAATTAAACTTTTTTTCTGCCTCTACTTGTTATGTCAAACTCAGTTTGTTGATGTAAGCATTTCGGTATGTAGAAACCATTATAAACCCCACAGCACCTGTTTCAGATGTAGAAACCATTATAAACCCCACAGCACCTGTTTCAGATGTTGAAACCATTATAAACCCCACAGCACCTGTTTCAGATGTAGAAACCATTATAAACCCCACAGCACCTGTTTCAGATGTAGAAACCATTATAAACCCCACAGCACCTGTTTCAGATGTAGAAACCATTATAAACCCCACAGCACCTGTTTCAGAACCATCTCGGAGTATTTCCCCTTTCCACAACAACCACCTGCTTATTTTCTAGAAAGGTGTAGTAGGACAAAATAATTATCTTTATAATACAATTTAAGGGGGTATGGAGAGGTGGTGGATGAGTGATGTCTGTAATTCAATTCTTGATATTAGTCATCTTAAGTTGTGTGTTTTGAATGTGGCGTGCTTGTCTCCCGTGTGTGACATTGGGACATGCGCACGAAGGCACTTCTGACCTGGGTGCCATAAAAAAAAACGAGGGGTGTGTTTTCGGTCCTTGTGAGAAATAAAGCGCATGCGCCCTGGTAGGAACCACCGCGCGGCCGGCGTCAGGCTCGAGACCGCAGCGACTGCAGTTTTTCCCCGTCAGAAAGACGGAACGAGTGAGAAAGGGCAAAATACGGGGAGCCACGGACAGACGGGCCCAGAGAGAGAGGACGAGAGGGAAGAATGAAGGAATCATATCAGGGAATAAGAAAACGACTGGATTAATTATCCAAAACATGATACTTTACTACCAGGGACACTGCAGATGCCATCTGTCTCGCGTCGGTTTCTACAATAATCACGTTCATTGCAGCGATTCCTTCACTCAATGAGACAGAGCGGAGCCACCTGGCTACTACCATAGAGGGGAGTACAATGACAACCTGGTGACTAGGACAAAACGGAATGCAATAATACCGGAATAAAGGACAGTCTGGGGGTGTGCATCACCAACCGGGAGAGTGATGAGAAGAGCCATGGGGAGACAAGGACCGTGTTTCTGCTGTCGCCTGTCAGGGGTATTGTTTCTGTGTGTTGTGGACTGATCATTTATTCTTCGTTCACCCTCCTCCCCTCCTCCACCTCTTATCCACCGGTGTCGTCGGGGAGTTCTACTATGGAGCGCTCCAATGGCTCTGGAACCAGCGAACCCACCAAACCGACAAACCACCAGTTGGATAAGAAACGGTTAAACCGAGCACCGTCCCCGGCCAGGCCGTTCCTGAAGGATGTCCACTCCTCCCGCTCCTCGCCCAAACCAACGGCTATCGTACCAAAATCCCCCAAACTGACCAAGCAGCAGCACTCTTCTCCTGTGCCCGTATCATCCAATCAAAGCCGCATCACCAGGCGCACCGCAACCGGAGCGAAGGACAACAAACTAGCCGCTGTGAAAAGTCACAGCACCAAGTCCTCCGCCGTCACGAAAAAGACCGTTAAGGTCATCCAACATGCAGCCCCGGAGCATAAAACGACCACCGCCAGCAAACCGCTCCCGGGCAGCAGCAGCAGTCCACACCTCGCCCTCAAAGCAAAGAAGAAGAGTAAAATAGCCGCTCTGGCCGCGTCTCACCGCGGCCCGCCCAGCCATGGCTCCCCAATCCGCGTCCCAACCGGTGCTACCCACTTCGGCAGGGTCAGTCTCAGTCAGACGGACAGCAGCTCCGATCTCTCCGACTGTCCCTCCGAGCCCCTATCCGACGAACAACGCCTGGCCGCGGCCGCCAGCAGCGATGGGGAGTCGGAGGGCTCTGAGGCCAGCGACAGGGATCAGGTGGGAGCGGATTATCCTCTGCAGGCAGGAGCGTCGGCGTCAGACGCGGCAGGGGCTACTGCTAGTCGTGGTGGGGCTTCATTGCGCGCCGCGGAGGGTAGCGCTGCGGGTGTGATAGTGGCAGCAGCGGGGAAAAGCGGCATGTCTCAGGCTCCAGGAGCAGGTGCTCACGGTCACGGAGGAGATGGGAGTAAACAGGAGAAATCCTCAACAAGCGCACAATTTATGAAACTGGAATACAGCAAGGAGATCATCGAGGAGGATTTGTTACGGGAAATTGAAGATCTTCGTTCTGAAAACGACTACCTCAAGGTAAAAGAGGCTGTGGGAATGATTTCTATTTCTCAAAAGTTATCATGTTGTCTCTTATTTTATTGCAATGCATCGTGTGTAATCCATGCTGGTGTTTCTGCATCGCCAATGACTGTAGTCCGTGTAGGCTGCCCTCATTAGCTCTATTGATTATAGTGTTATCTTTGCAGCCAGTGATTCACTGTATCACAGTTTGAATCACTTCATGTGATCCCCTCAGATCCTCACTGTTGGTTTGCAGTGACATTTACCTGCTATTCACCTGCTATTCCTTGATGGCTCCTGTTGATATAGTTGACTACCCTCTGGTTGTGTGAAGGAACCTAGTAGTCTACTCTGGACTTTATGTTACCATCAGGTTATTTCTGTTCTCATCATTTAAATAATAATAATATGCCATTTAGCAGACGCTTTTATCCAAAGCGACTTACAGTCATGTGCGCATAAATTTTTACGTATGGGTGGTCCCGGGGATCGAACCCACTATCCTGGCGTTACAAGCGCCGTGCTCTACCAGCTGAGCTACAGATAATTTAAATCAAGCCCCCGTGTAGCTCAGTTGGAAGAGCATGGCGTTTGCAACGCCAGGGTTGTGGGTTCGATTCCCACGGGGGGCCAGTATGAAAATGTATGCACTCACTAACTGTAAGACGCTCTAGATAAGAGCGTCTGCTAAATGACTGAAATGTGAAATGACTGAAATGTGAAATGTAAATGTCTTTCATCATACAATTTTTTTTAACGTAATAATAATCTTGTTCTTTGTCAATCTCATATTGCAAAGAAAGTGAATAGTTTTTGAATGGTCCAAAATATATTTCTGCTAAATTAAATAGATTTTGAATGGTCCAAAATATCTTTCCTCTAAATTAAACAGATTTTGAATGGTCCAAAATATCTTTCCTCTAAATTAAACAGATTTTGAATGGTCAAAAATATATTTCCTCTAAATTAAACAGATTTTGAATGGTCCAAAATATCTTTCCTCTAAATTAAACAGATATTGAATGGTCAAAAATATCTGTTCTCTAAATTAAATAGATTTTGAATGGTCAAAAATATATTTCCTCTAAATTAAATAGATTTTGAATGGTCAAAAATGTATTTCCTCTAATTTGGATGACATCCAAAGGATTCTTCTCTTGCTACATGAAATCCAATTTTAAATGTTCATACGAACCATTTTTCCAACATGGGCTTTAGGCAATGTAGGTTATATATTCAGATAACAAGTTGGGGAGGAGGAGGAGGAGGAGGAGGAGAAAAGGGGATAATGCGGCATCATTTTCCAGTTTCAGTTAAATGAATGGATGGATTCATATGCATCATGTCTGTCTGTCACTGTGGGATTGTCCTAACTTGATCACAGCTCACGCTAGCTCTCTGTTCATAAAGCGATAATCAGCTTTAGCTCCTCTCCTCTCCTCTCCTCTCCTCTCCTCTCCTCCTCCTCCTCTCTTCCCATAGGACTGATAACTGTCAGATGTCCCATGTGTTGTCAGAGGTTCAAACCGTTCTATGTGTCTCTGTCTGTTAGTCTGCCAGCTGGGGCCACAGTCACACACTCTCTCTCCTCTCCTCCCTCTGTCTGTTAGTCTGCCAGCTGGGGCCACAGTCACACTCTCTCTCTCCTCTCCTCCCTCTGTCTGTTAGTCTGCCAGCTGGGGCCACAGTCACACACTCTCTCTCCTCTCCTCCCTCTGTCTGTTAGTCTGCCAGCTGGGGCCACAGTCACACTCTCTCTCTCCTCTCCTCCCTCTGTCTGTTAGTCTGCCAGCTGGGGCCACAGTCACACTCTCTCTCCCTCTCCTCCCTCTGTCTGTTAGTCTGCCAGCTGGGGCCACAGTCACACACTCTCTCTCCTCTCCTCCCTCTGTTTGTTAGTCTGCCAGCTGGGGCCACAGTCACACTCTCTCTCCTCTCCTCCCTCTGTCTGTTAGTCTGCCAGCTGGGGCCACAGTCACACTCTCTCTCCTCTCCTCCCTCTGTCTGTTAGTCTGCCAGCTGGGGCCACAGTCACTCTCTCTCTCCTCTCCTCTCCTCCCTCTGTCTGATAGTCTGCCAGCTGGGGCCACAGTCACACACTCTCTCTCCTCTCCTCCCTCTGTCTGTTTAGTCTGCCAGCTGGGGGCCACAGTCACACTCTCTCTCCCTCTCCTCCCTCTGTCCTGTTAGTCTGGCCAGCTGGGGCCACAGTCCCACTCTCGCTTCCTCTCCTCCCTCTGGTCTGTTAGTCTGCCACTGGGGCCACAGTCACACTCTCTCTCTCTCCTCTCCTCCCTCTGTCTGTTAGTCTGCCAGCTGGGGCCACAGTCACACTCTCTCTCCTCCCTCTGTCTGTTAGTCTGCCAGCTGTGGCCACAGTCACACTCTCTCTCCTCTCCTCCCTCTGTCTGTTAGTCTGCCAGCTGGGCCACAGTCACACTCTCCTCTCCTCCTCTCCTCCCTCTGTCCTGTTAGTCTGTGCCAGCTGGGGCCACAGTCCACACTCTCTCTCTCTCTCCTCTCCCTCCCCTCTGTCTGTTAGTCCTGCCAGCTGGGGCCACAGTCACACTCTCTCTCTCCCTCTCCTCCCTCTGTCTGTTAGTCTGCCAGCTGGGGCCACAGTCACACTCCTCTCTCTCCTCTCCTCCCTCTGTCTGTTAGTCTGCCAGCTGGGGCCACAGTCACACTCTCTCTCCTCTCCTCCCTCTGTCTGTTAGTCCTGCCAGCTGGGGCCACAGTCACACTCTCTCTCCTCTCCTCCCTCTGTCTGTTAGTCTGCCAGCTGGGGCCACAGTCACACTCTCTCTCCTCTCCTCCCTCTGTCTGTTAGTCTGCCAGCTGGGGCCACAGTCACACTCTCTCTCTCCTCTCCTCCCTCTGTCTGTTAGTCTGCCAGCTGGGGCCACAGTCACACACTCTCTCCTCCTCTCCTCCCTCTGTCTGTTAGTCTGCCAGCTGGGGCCACAGTCACACACTCTCTCTCCTCTCCTCCCTCTGTCTGTTAGTCTGCCACTGGGGCCACAGTCACACTCTCTCCTCTCCTCCCTCTGTCTGTTAGTCTGCCAGCTGGGGCCACAGTCACACACTCTCTCTCCTCTCCTCCCTCTGTCTGTTAGTCTGCCAGCTGGGGCCACAGTCACACTCTCTCTCCTCTCCTCCCTCTGTCTGTTAGTCTGCCCAGCTGGGGGCCACAGTCACACTCTCTCTCCTCTCCTCCCTCTGTCGTTAGTCTGCCAGCTGGGGCCACAGTCACACACTCTCTCTCCTCTCCTCCCTCTGTCCTCTTCCCACTTCTGACTCTCTCTCTCCTCTCCTCCCTCTGTCCTCTTCCCACTTCTGTCTCTGTCTCTCTCTCTCTCTCTCTCTCTCTCTCTCTCTCTCCTCCTCCTCATCTCTCTCTCTCTCTCTCTGTCCTCTTCCCACTTCTGTCTCTGTCTCTCTCTCTCTCTCTCCTCTCCTCCCTCTGTCCTCTTCCCACTTCTGTCTCTGTCTCTGTCTCTCTCACTCTCACTCTCACTCTGTCCTCTTCCCACTTCTGTCTCTGTCTCTCGCTCTCTCTCTCACTCTCTCTCTCGCTCTCTCTCTTGCTCTTGCTCTCTCTCCGCCCCACTTCACAACACAAACACAGTTCAGGCTTCTCTCTTCCCTTCCTGCAACATAATACATTCACCAAAATCATTATGAGGAAATGGATTATTCGGGAGGACAGAAAAGGAAGATAAATGAAAGTGCAGAAGCGCATGGTGCTAGGCTATAGGTCTGTGTGTTTTTAGACTCTCAGGTCTTCTTTATCAGGATGGGTTGATAATGTTTAGGGTCACGTCATCAGTACTGTGATATAGCACATTGACACCCTTTACACTAATCACCCTTTCCACTTCAAGTCAGTGCATTGACAAGCAGATTCCAGAGCAGTCGCTATCCACCATGTGCATCAAACATCAAACAATATTAGCTCAGTAACTGAATACTTGATTGACTGTCAAAGCTAATAACAGTCCAGAAAGGATTTACTAATGTTGTAAACTACTACTTTTTCATCATCAACAACAACAACAACAACCATGAAAGCTATTATTGATCTCAGATAGCCCTATCATCAGACAGACTGAATCAATGTATCTTGTTTCAGATAGGCCTATCATCAGACAGACTGAATCAATATATCTTATCTGTCTATTGATTTAGTATCTCTCTGTATCTCTGTGTGTCTCTGTGTCTCTCCTCTCTCTGTGTGTCCCCTGTTTCCTCTGTGTCCTTTTTCTCTTGTGCCCCTGTTGTCTCTCCCCTCTCTGGTTCTCTGTGGTTCCTTCTCGTGTTCTCGTGTGTCCCCCTTTTTTTCCTTTTCTCTGTGTTCTCTGTTTCTCTCCCTCTCTGTGTGTTCTTTGTCTCTCCCCTTTTCTGTGTTCCTGTTCCTGTTCTCTTTCTCTGTGTGTCCTTTTCTTCTTTGTCTCTTTTGTCTCTGTGATTCTTGTCCTTTGTTTTCCCTGTTTTCTCTTGTATCTCTGGTTCTCTTTCCCTCTCCCTGTGTCCTCTGTTCTCTCTGTTCCTCTCGTGTTCGTGTTCTCTTTTTGTTCTCCCCCTCTTCTGTGTTCTCTGTTGCCCCTGTGTTCTCTTGTGTTCTCCTCCTCTGTGTTCTTTTGTTGTCTCTGTGTTCTCTTTTGTCCTCCCCCTTTTGGTTCCCCTGTGGCTCGTGTGTTTTCTTTGTCCCTCCTCTCTCTGTGTGGGGTCTGTGTGCCTCTGTTTTTGGGCTTGTGTCCTCCTTCCTGTGTTCTTTGGGGTTTTTTTTGGGATTTTTTCTGGTGTTTTTCCTTTTTTTCTTATTTTTGTTCTGTGTGGCCTGTTTTTCTCTGTGTTTTGTGTGTCTCTTTTTTTTTTTTCCTTCTTGTTGTTTTTTGTTTTTTGTGTGTTCTGTGGTTCTTTTTGTGTTTTGTGGGGTTTTCTGTGTTCCTCCCTCTCCCTCTGTGTGTCCCTGGTGTTCTGTTTCTCTGTGTTCTCTGTGTATCTCTGTGTTCTCTTTTTGGCTCTTTGTTCGGCTCTCCTCTCCGGGTTTGTTCTCTGTGTTCTTGTGTCTCTGGGGTTTTCCCCTTTTCTCTTGGTCTCTTCCCTTTTGTGTTCTGTGTTCTCTCCTCTCTCTGTGTTTTCTTTTTTTTTCCTCTCTCTTTTTTCTCTTTTCTCCTGTGTTTTTGCCCCGTGTCTCTTTTTTCCCTCTCTCTGTGTATTTTGTGATCCGTGGTCTCCTTTTCTCTGTGGGTCTCTGTTTCTCTCCCTCTCTGGGTTTTCTCTGTGTTCTCTGTTTGGGATCCTGGGCTCGGTGCCCCCTCCTCTCTCTGTGTATCTTTTTGATCTCTGTGTTCTCCCGGGGGTTCTCCTCTCTTTTTTGTGTCTCTGTTGTCTCTCCTCTCTCTGTTATCTCTGTGATCTCTGTCTTTTTTTCTCTCCTTTTCTGTGTGTCTCTTTTCCCCTTCTCTGTGTCCCTTTTCTTCTGGTTCTCGGGGGTTCCTTGGTTCCCCCTTGCTGCTCTGTGTATCTCTGTGTTCCTGTTGTCTCTTTTTCCTGTGTATCTCTGTGTATCTCTTTTCCTCCTCCCTTCTCTGTGTGTCTCGTGTGTCCTGTGGCCCCCTTTTTTTTGTTCCTGTGTTTTCTGGTTTTGGCTCTTTCTCTTCCCCCTCTGTGGGGTTTTTTTGTCCTCTCCCTCCTTTGTATCTTGGTGTTCTTTCTTTGTTTCTCTCCTCCCCCTTTGTTTCTTACTCGTTTTTTCCCTTGTTTCCTGGGGGTCTCTCCCCCCCTCTCTTGTTGTGTCTCTGTGGTGGGCTCTCCTCTCTCTGTGTCTCTCCTTCTCTGTGTTCTTGGTGTGTCCCCTTGTGTCTCTGTGTTCTCTGTGTTGTTCTTGGGGTTCTCTGTTGTCTCTGTGTCTCTTCTCTTGCTCTTTCCCCTTTCTCGGTTTTCGCCTCTTTTTGTTGTCCTTGTGGTCTCTTGTTCTCTGTGTTCTCTTTTGTCTTCTGTGGGGTTCTTCTTTTTCTTGGTTCTGTTGCCTTGTGTATCTCTGTTGCCCTTTTTCTTTGTGTCTCTGGGGGGGTTCTTTGTTCTCCTTTTTATCCCGGGGGGGGTGTTCTGTTGTCTCTTTTTTGGGGGGGCCTCCTCTTTCTGTTTTTCTCTTGGTTTCTTGTGTTCTCTGTGTATCTCTGTGGTTTTCTTTTTTCCTCTCTCTGTTTTTCGGGGCTTTTTTGTATCTTGTTTTTATCTCTGTGTTCCTGGTTCTCCCTCTCTTGTTCTCTTTCTCTTTTCCCCCTTCTCTCCTCTCTCTGTGTCCTGGTGTCCGTGTATCTCTGTGTTCTCTGTGTGTCCCTTCTGTGTTCTCGTTATCCTGTGTAAACTTCTGGTGTCTCTCCTCCTCTGGTTTCTCTGTGTTCCCCTTTGTCCCCTTTTACTCTGTGTGTCTCTTTCTCTGTGTATCTCTGTGTACTCTTCGTCTCTCCTCTCTGTGTTTTCTGTGGGCTCCCCTCTCTCTGTGTATCTCTGTGTGTCCTGTGTTTTCTTTCTCGTGTATCTCTTGTGTCCCCCTCTGTGTTCTCGTGGTCCCCTTTCCTTTCCCCTGGTCCCCCCTCCTATCTCTGTGTGTCTCTGTGTTCCCTGTTTCTCCTCTCTCTTTTGTTCGTGTTCTCTTGTTCCTCCTCTCCCTGTGGGCTCTTTCTCTCCCCTCTCTGTGTATCTCTTGTGTCTCTGTTTCTTTTGTTCTCTTTTCTCTGTTTTCTCTTTTTCTGTGTCCTCTCCTCCGGGCCTCTCTTTTCTCCCCCCTTCGTTGGGCTCTGTGTTCTCTGTGTTCTCTGTGTGTCTCTTTTCTCTTGATCTCTGTTTCCTGTGTGCTCTTTTCCCCCTGTGTGTCTCTTTCCTCTGTGTTCTCTGTTGTCTCTTTTTATCTCTTGTTCCCCTGTGTTCTCTTTTTTCCTTTCCCCCTTTTTCGTTGTCTCTGTTTTCTCTGTGTGTTTTTGTATTCTGTGTGTCCCCTTCTCTTGTGGGGGTCTCTGGGTTTTTCTTGTGTCTTGTGTGTCTCTGTGTATCTTTTCCCCCTTTGTGTTCTCTTTGTGTGCTCTGTGTATCCTTTTTGGGCTCCCTTTTCTCTGTGTATCTCGTGTTCCCCCTGTGTTTCTCTTGTTGCCCTTTTGGGCTCTTTTTCTCCCCTGTTTTCCGGTGTCCCCCCCTTTTTCCCCCTTCTCTGTTATCCTGTGTTCTCTGTGTTCTCTGTGTTTCTCTGTGTATCTTTGTACTCTTTTGTGTCTCCCTCCCCCTCTGTTGTCTCTGTTTCTCTGTGGATTCTGTTTCTCTGTGGTTTTCTGTGTTCCGTTTCTCTCCTCTCTGTGGTTTTCTTGTGGCTCTGTGTCTCTCCTTCTCTTTTATCTCTGTGTGTCTCTTTTTTGTTTTTCTGTGTGTCCTGGTTCTCTTTGTCCCCCCCTTTTCTCTCCCTCTCTCTGTGTGTCTCTGTGTATCTCTGTGGTCTCTTGTATCTCTGTGTGTCCTGTGTATTTTCTTGTGTCTCTGTTTTTTCTCTTTTTTCCCTTTTTGTCCGTCCCCCCTTTTTTTTGGTTGGGGGGATTAAGGAACCCCAAAAAAAAACTTGATTTGCCTTTTTGGGTCCTGGTTTCCCTCTTTTGGGTGAATGGTAAACTCTCTTTTCTCTTTTTTTTTCTTTCTCCTTCTCTCTCCCTCCCTCCTTTTTCTCGTGGTTTGGGGACTCTAAATTTGGGGGGCCGTGTTTCCTTTTGGGTTTCCCCGGTGCTTGCCCCCCAATGAACTTTCCGGTCCCCCGCCCCCCCTCCTGGAAAAAACCCGGGGGGAACTTTGGCCCTGTGCCCTCTCCAAAACCCGGCCGGGGCCTCGGTGTTTTTTTTGTTCCCGATTCCCAACTCGTGTGGTGTTTTGTTTTTGTGTTGTGTATGGACTTTGCCCTCTTTCCCTTTTTGTTTTTTTCCCCTTTCTGGTGTGTGGGGGTTCCCCTTTTTTATCCTTTTTTTTTGTTCTCCGTTTTTTTTCCGTGTCCTTGTGTGTTTTTTGTGTTTCCCCTGTGTACTCGGTGCCGTGTATTCGTTTGCCCCCTGGGGGTCGGGCCCCTTTTCTCTCGGGTCCGGTGGGTTCTCTCCTTCCTGGCCCCCTCCTGTTTTTTTTTTTTTTTTTTTCCTTTTTTTTTCCCTTTTTCTTCTCCCTTTTTCTTTTTTCTCTTTCTTTTTTTTTTTCGTTCCTTGCTTTTTTTTTTTTTGTTTTTTTGGGGGGTTTTTTTCTTTGATTTTTCCCGCTCTACCCGGGGCTCCCCCCCCTTTCTCAGATGAAGTGGAGGAGCTGCGTGCAGAGATGGAGGAGGCGCGGGACAGCTACCTGGAAGTGGAGGTGCACCAGGTGCAGGAGTTACGCAGGGAGCTGGACCGCTCCAATAAGAACTGCCGGATCCTCCAGTACCGCCTCCGTAAGGCGGAGCAGAAGAGCCTCAGAGTGGCCCAGACTGGACATGTAGACGGAGACCTGCTACGCAACCTGGAACAGGACCTCAAGGTACGTGTTGTTGTTACCGAGTGGCCCAGACTGGGCGTGTGTGTGTGTGTGTGTGTGTGTGTGTGTATGCGCACGTGTCCTCGTCCGTCCTCTGTTTTTCAGCTGTACTGGTGTTCAATATACTTGTTTCATGCACTGTGTTCATGTACTTTGTTCATGCACAGTGTTTATGTACTGTGTCCGTGTGCTGTGTTCATGTGTGTGTTTCATAACCTCAATGTGTCACCGTGCAGGTGGCCAAAGACGTGTCAGTGCGTTTGCACAACGAGCTGGAGAGTGTAGAAGACAAGAGGACCAGGGCGGAAGACGAGAATGAGCTGCTGAGAACAGAGGATCATCGAGGGAGATCTCTAAACAAGCTCTACACAATGAACTGGACAAACTAGAGTAGGATGGAAGGGGGGGTTGGTTATTGACTGTGCTTTGTCGATTTCTTCTGCTAGTTCTATTTCTTGTGCCGTGTTTCTCTTTCTTTGTTCTGTTCGTCTGCGATCTTGATTGTCCGTGGCTGATGGTCTTGAGCTTTTGTCACCGCTCTACACCAGGGATCATCAACTAGATTCAGCCGCGTGCTGATTTTTTCTTGAATGGATGGTCAGGGGGCTGGAACATAATTACAAATAATTTGTCGACTGGAAATTGACCGCAAGAAGCTTAAACAGATATAACATTTGACTAAAACATAATCATTTAAAATCTTGCTTACATTTGTATACGATCACATACAGTGCATTCGGAAAGTATTCCGACCCCTTGACTTTTTCCACATTTTGTTACGTTACAGCCTTATTCTAAACTGGATTTAAAAAAAATATCCTAATCAATCTACACACAATACCCCATAATGACAAAGCAAAAACAGGTGTTTAGAAATTTTTGCAAGTTTATAAAAAATACAACACGGAAATATCACATTTACATAAGTATTCAGACCCTTTACTCAGTACTTTGTTGAAGCACCTTTGGCAGCACTTACACCATCAAGTCTTCTTGGGTATGACGCTACAAGCTTGGCACACCTGAATTTGGGGAGTTTCTCCCATCCTTCTCTGCAGATCCTCTCAAGCTCTGTCAGGTTGGATCGGGAGCGTCGCTGCACAGCTATTTTCGGGTCTCTCCAGAGATGTTCGATCGGGTTCAAGTCCGGGCTCTGGCTGGGCCACTCAAGGACATTCAGAGGCTTGTCCCGAAGCCACTCCTACGTCGTTTTGGCTGTGTGCTTAGGGTCGTTGTCCTGTTGGAAGGTGAACCTTCGCCCCAGTCTGAGGTCCTGAGCGCTCTGGAGCAGGTTTTCATCAAGGATCTCTCTGTACTTTGCTCCATTAATTTTTCCCTCGATCCTGACTAGTCTCCCAGTCCCTGCCGCTGAAAAACATCCCCACAGCATGATGCTGCCACCACCATGCTTCACCGTAGGGATGGTGCCAGGTTTCCTCCAGATGTGACGCTTGGCATTCAGGCCAGAGAGTTCAATCTTGGTTTCATCAGACCAGAGAATCTTGTTTCTCATGGTGTGAGAGTCCCTTAGATGCTTTTTGGCAAACTCCAAGTGGGCTGTCATGTGACTTTTACCGAGGAGTGGCTTCCGTCTGGCCACTCTACCATAAAGGCCTGATTGGTGGAGTGCTGCAGAGATAGTTGTCTTTCTGGAAGGTTCTCCCATCTCCACAGAAGAACTCTGGAGCTCTGTCAGAGTGACCATCGGGCTCTTGGTCACCTCCCTAACCAAGGCTCTTCTCCCCAAATTGCTCAGTTTGGCCAGGCGGCCAGCTCTAGGAAGAGTCTTGGTGGTTCCAAACTTCTTCCATTTAAGAATGACGGAGGCCACTGTGTTCTTGGGGACCTTCAATGCTGCAGACTTTTTGGGGTACCTTTCCCCAGATCTGTGCCTCGACACAATCCTGTCTCAGAGCTCTACGGACAAGTCCTTCGACCTCATGGCTTGGTTTCTGCTCTGACATGCACTGTCAACTGTGGGACCTTATATAGACAGGTGTGTGCCTTTCCAAATCATGTCCAATCAATTGAATTTACCACAGGTGGATTCCAATCAAGTTGTAGAAACATCAAGGATGATCAATGGAAACAGGATGCAGCTGAGCTCAATTTCGAGTCTCATAGAAAAGGGTCTGAATACTTACAGTACCAGTCAAAGTTTGGACACACCTACTCATTCAAAGGTTTTTCTTTATTTTTTACTATTTTCTACATTGTAGAATAATAGTGAAGACATCAAAACTATGAAATAACACATATAGAATAATTTAGTAACCAAAAAAGCGTTAAACAAATCAAATACTGATTCTTCAAAGTAGCCATCCCTTTGCCTTGACAGCTTTGCACACGCTTGGCATTCTCTTAACCAGCTTTATGAGGAATGCTTTTTTCGAACAGTCTTGAAGGAGTTCCCACATATGCAGAGCACTTGTTGGCTGCTCTTCCTTCACTCTGCAGTCCAACTCATCCCAAACCATCTTAATTGGGTTGAGGTCGGGTGATTGTGGAGGCCAGGTCATCTGATGCAGCACTCTATCGCTCTCCTTGGTCAAATAGCCCTTACACAGCCTGGAGGTGTGTTGGGTCATTGTCCTGTTGAAAAACAAATTATAGTCCCACTAAGCCCAAACCAAATGGGATGGCGTATTGCTGCAGAATGCTGTGGTAGCCATGCTGGTTAAGTGTGCCTTGAATTCTAAATAAATCACTGACAGTTTCACAAGCAAAGCACCCCCACACCATCACACCTCCTCCTCCATGCTTCACAGTGGGAACCACACATGGGGAGATCATCCGTTCAACTACTCTGCGTCTCACAAAGACACGGCGGTTGGAACCAAAAATCTCAAATTTGGACTCATCAGACCAAAGGACAGATTCTACCGGTCTAATGTCCATTGCTCGTGTTTCTTGGCCCAAGCAAGTCTCTTCTTCTTAAAGGTGGCCTTTAGTAGTGGTTTCTTTGCAGCAATTCGACCATGAAGGCCTGATTCACGCAGTCTCCTCTGAACAGTTGATGTTGAGATGTGTCTGTTACTTGAACTCTGTGAAGCATTTATTTGGGCTGCAAGCTGAGGTGCAGTTAACTCTAATGAACTTATCCTCTGCAGCAGTCCTCATGAGAGCCAGTTTCATCATAGCGCTTAATGGTTTTTGCGACTGCACTTGAAGAAACTTTAAAAGTTCTTGAAATGTTCCAAATTGACTGACCTTCATGTCTTAAAGTAATGATGAACTGTCGTTTCTCTTTGCTTATTCGAGCTGTTCTTGCCATAATATGGACTTGGTCTTTTACCAAATAGGGCTATCTTCTGTATACCCCCCTACCTTGTCACAACACAACTGATTGGCTCAAACGCATTAAGAAGGAAAGAAATTCCACAAATTAACTTTTTTAAGAAGGCACACCTGTTAATTGAAATGCATTCCAGATGACTACCTCATGAAGCTGGTTGAGAGAACGCCAAGAGTGTTCAAAGCTGTCATCAAGGCAAAGGGTGGCTACTTTGAAGAATCTCAAATACAAAATATATTTTGATTTGTTTAACACTTTTTTGGTTACTACATGATTCCATATGTGTTATTTCATAGTTTTGATGTCTTCACTATTATTCTGCAATGTAGAAAATAGTAAAAATAAAGAAAAACCCTGGAATGAGTAGGTGTTCTAAAACTTTTGACTGGTACTGTATGTAAATAAGGTATTTCTGTTTTTTGTTTGTAATAAATTTGCAAAAATTTCAAAACCTGTTTTCGCTTTGTCATTATGGGGTATTGTGTGTAGATTGAGGAGGAAAAATAATCATTTAATCCAATTTAGAAAAAGGCTGTAACCTAACTGTATGTCTCTCTATTGTGCATGGGAATACTTGAACATATTCCTCAAATTAAAATCACTTGGAGCTGATTTCCTGGTGTTTTTACAGTCTCATATCCAACAATAATACAATAAAATAAATAATAATATAAATAATTTTAAATAAAATTGCTCAGAAAACTTGGGGGGGCCAAATAAAACCACACCCGGGCAAAATTCAGCCCCCAGTTGGAGAACCCTGCTCTACATCAAAAGAAACTGAGCATGAAATTCTGAAGTGAGAGAACCTGTCCCATGAAGAAAAGAAAAAAATTTTGGGGAAAAAGGGGGGGTTATGGATTTTCTGATGGATTTGGGGTTTTGTTTTCCCCGTTAAAGTAGGGGAAGGGAAGGGGGGGACATATTAAATAAAAGGGGGGCCCCCCTTTTTTTTGTT